TTTTCATGATTTTCAAATCATGGAAGTAAACATATCATTATTATAGCATGAATACTTTCAATATTTCAAACATTCATCACTAATTTAAAACTTTTTGAACTTGGATTTGGTAATAAATTTAAGTAGGACAATTATATTTTTTGTCAGTGATGTCGACAACATTTATTTTGAAACAGATTAAGTAGCACGAAAAAGCTCCTAGTCCTAATGATTGACAATCAGTTGTTGACAACAATCGACCCATCCACATCATTATCTACTATCTAGCAGAAATAAAATAAAATACCTATGCTGTCACAGTTGGTCATCCTCAGCAATGATAATAATATTAGTTATCCAGGTTCAATCAAGGGTGTACGGGGATTTACCCCGGGTTTTATTCCATACACCCTGAGGCCGAAGGCCGAAGGGTGTATGGAATACAACCCGGGGTAAATCCCCGTACACCCTTGATTGGACCTGGATAACGAATTTATTTCCTCTGTGATCATAAAAATACTTTGTAAACATCTAGCGTTTGTCTCAATCTGTTATTTGGTTTTTATTATAGAGAATGTATGCATTGTGACGTCACGTTTTATTTACACCCGGCTCAAGTCGGGTGCACGGATATTTACACCCGACTTTGTAACCAATCAAAGCTCGTGTTACAAGCTAGATAGGAAATAATGCAATATACTCCAAGCCCAAAGAAAACTAAGTAGCAAGTAAGTAATACCGTAAAACATTTCACCTTTTATATCTAGTTTTACTTAATGTTCTAAAAAGTTATTTTAACCTTAACATGTATGAGCAGAATGTACAGGTTAAATGTATTTCAGAAAATTAAATTGTTTTTTATATGTAAAAAATAAATAAAAACATAAAAATCAAAAGAATGATAGCACAAGTAGTAACCTGCAACAGGTGTCTAATTTTGGGGGGTTGACTCAACTGCAATAAACAACATAGACATGATAATAGAGAAGCAATGCTAACACTGTCAACGTTCCGCCATTCATTGTTAAAAAGGCATCGATTAGAGGACATCAAATAACAAACAACAGACTTATTTTATACTGACATGTCTGTTCACACTGGACATTTCAAAAATGAAAAAGAAAACAATGGGTTCACACGCCATTCAATACAATTTCATGAAACTTTTGGTCCCTTTTCAAAATATATTAGATAACAATTGCTAAATAGATGTATTTAGTACGCTTATAACTTGTTTTGTACCATTACACTCACCAATAAATTACTGGCGATTCACAAAAACCTTCTGTTTTGAGTGTTTATCTTCCCTCCATTCAGCGGCCGCCATTGTATGACGTCATTTGTACAGCTGCAGGTCAAGAATGATAACTCCGGGAAATTTCTGGTTTACATAGTAAATAAATATTAAATAAAAATACAATAATCATAATTTGGAAATAAATGAATAAACAAAATAATAAGACGAGATTAAACACTCTGTATAGAGTTCAACTCCCTACCGGAAGAAGAAGAAGAAGAAGGATATTCAAATTTTCACCGATTTTTAACATAAATATCCCCACGTTTCTAAAGTTAATATTGACTTTAATTAAACTGTTTCTGCTATTTGATTCGGAGCTGTTGTCTGTTGTTTCTTCGTTTGTTCATTTGTTCGTCTTTTTCGTTCCCTTTCGAGAATTTTTCACTCATAGGCCTATATTGAAACGCAACCATGGCCACCTTTTGCCAGAAGCAAACTGCAAGGCCGTTTGACTAATAACCGGGGGTAATTTTGCCGATATCTAGCTATATAGTATCTATATAGATATCATAGCTACTGTATACATGTAAATGCTCGTGTCCCCTCAATAAAACATCTGATTACCCCCTTTTTGCTTGTCAATGATTTCTTGGTAGTTGATACCGGTATGTATAGTGCCCCTTCTCAAAATACATGGCTGCCCCCGAAATTGCTTCCTATGAGCCTAAACTGCAAATTAATACCTATACCTATACCATATGAGGGACCTTTTTTGTGTCAGCATCTGCTGTTACACGGCACTTTCTCACTATAGGTCAGCTGAAACTTAAACGAAAGATTCTTGACATAATATATACATGTAAATTCATGTTTGTCCATAATGGGACCACTTTGAGTTAAAAAAAAAAAACAACTTTTACCTGAGTGGGAAATCTTTAAAAAGTTTCCGCTTCTTAAGAAAAGCAGTCATGATGATTCATTTTTATATTTAGGCAACCTCAAATACTATAGATTCAATTTTGTTTTGACCCCCCAGTCAGGCTGTGACCAAAGTGGGTAATCAAGACATAATATTAGGAAAACAAAGGAAAAAATCTTAAATTTTCCTCCAAGAAACAGCAATCATGATAAGTCATATTTTCATGGAAGCATCCTCATGTCGTGTAAATTCAGTTTTGTTCAAATTGCCCCTCCCCCGAGACAGGTGGGACCATTTAGGTTAAATCTGGATATGTACCGGAAAATGACCTTCTTCTTCTCAAGAACAACAAAACCACAACCACTCGTTAAACAGAAGCATACTCAGGTAGTGTAGAATAGTGTAGAATCAAGAGGTTCAAATCCTTACCCTTGATGGTAAGAGTGGGTCCACAACGAGCAATCAAAGATTGACAAACACATTGGAAAAGCACATTTGAGAAATCTTTTCCCAGGAAAAGCAAAGTCACTGTTAATCATCATCTGAAACCATTCATGACCTTCGGGGGAGGGGGGGGTAGGATGGGGTCGGGTCACAATGAAAAATCCTTGAAAATCTTTTCAAGAACAGGACAGTCATGATGTCATATTTATATGAAAGCATTCCAGGTAGTATAGATTCAAGTTTGTTCAGAGTATGACCCGGCCCACGGTGTAGGATGGGGATTCATTCAGCAAAGTTTTACAATGAAGGAATGAAATAGAAAATCTGCTGATAAAGAACAAGAAGAAAGTTTTACATTTTTACTAAGGTGAGCTTTAGGGCCCATGGACCTCTTGTTATCGTTTGGGTTTAATACCCGAGAAAAGAGCATTTCTTACCTACATGTTAATTTTAATTTGCCGAGAAAATTTTCCACAAAAAGTTTTGTTTTCATATTTTTAAGCCTTTCAATACTAGTAATAGGAATTTTATCAAAATGCCTAGTCCAAATTTAAATTAATTTTAAGGTACTAGTACTGAAAGCTATTATAGGCTCCCGGCCCTTGTTCGCTCATTGAACAGTGATCAACTATATAAAGCAAATAAACAAAATGAATTTAGTTGCACGGGGCAAACCAAATTGATCCAAGTGGGATCAGATGCCCAAAAATAAGCTCCCTTGCCGATATGCATTGAAATGAATTAAGGGAGCCGACTGGAGTTTTATTGTGTGAAAACTACAATAGAGAAACTCTTTATTTTATACCATATATAACTTACATTGGCTTCAGTGTACATGCCAAGTTTTAGGAAAATCTACCTTCCAGGTATTTTTAAGGAGCCGTCTCAAAATACACGTACATTTACTATAGGATTGTATAGGAAAGTGCCAATTTTTCGCACTTTAAAGCAAATTATAAAAAAAAATAAATTAAACTACAATAGACTTTTTGCTCAATCTGTAATATATGATGAGTAATACTATATATGTACATCATATTATATGTAAGAAACACAAAACTCTACCGTCGTTTCCGGAGGGGGCATCTCAAAATGCAAAAATTAACGAATTTTCCTGTTTTTATAGAGGCCGGGCACTAAAAAATATGATGGATACAAAGGATTTATACAAAAATAAAAACAATTTTGGAGAGATTCTCAATTTTTTTATGTTTTAAATGTCAAAAGCATATATTTATTAATTTTTCTTTTATAACATTTTTATTACCCCTTCTGTAAGAGCTTCACATTATCATACTATGACGACGTCAATCTACTTATCAGTTGAAAAATTATTTTAAAAATCAGTTATATATATAATTCTCTTTATTGCATAATGCACCCATATGGGTCATGCAATACAATCCATCATTAAAAAAAACAAAATAAAAGAGAACAATGAATTATATATACAATAGACGTATAGAAATTTATTCCCTAAATGTTACACCGACGTGGACCTTTTATTTCTCAATTCTAATGATTGTTTTAAAATGTTGTAATTTTTCAACCTGTAATTTCTTAATCTTGTTAATTTTTTTTCCATTAAGTGAAAAATTTCTTTAAAACAGTAAATACATGTACACTTCATTTTACTATGTTGTGCGAAATGGAAACCCCTGTCCCCCTTTAAACGGCTCATTTTAGCTTTACGGTGATTGCACGGTCATGTATATGCAAGTCTTTCTTTCTTTTTTTTTTTTAGTTTGTTGATGAAGGCTCAATACGAAATTTAATTTTGTCAAGCATAAGTTTAAGATATAACAAATATAAGGCCTATGGGTCAGAACACTCACCTGAGTTAGTTTACGCTTCGGTTCTTTATTCTAGGAATTTTTTAAAACGTCTATTCACATGATAAAAAAGATTGATTTCCTTTAACCTAAGGATGTTTCGTAGCAAGTTTTACAAGTTTTATTTATTTAACATGTCAAAAATTTAGGCATTAGCAAGAAGAACAGAAAAATCGGTAAATTTACTTAGACTAAGAATAAACTATACACAGGAACGTAGCTTCAGGACCTCCCTATTGAAAAATGTTCATCGAAAGGCTGTCCCCCAATACATTATTGTCAAAGTTTGTGAATTTTTCTTCTTAGGTATGATTTTTTTCTGGCTCCCTTTCAGAAAAGGTGCTTCCTCCCTGGTACGTACATTGTTTTTAGGCTACATGATCTTTGTATCTCGTTAAAACGAAGACAAGTCATAATGAGAACTGTACAACGTTAATTTATTTACATTCACTAAAACAAAAAATATAGAAAAATATGAAATAAATACGATTTTAATTTGGCACTTAAGATAAAAAAAAATATAACATTAAACGACAAAAGAGTGTTTCTAAGGAATTTTTTTTCTATCTTGCACTTCTCTCTGCAATCTACAAACACTCAAAAGAAACTGATAAATATGAAGATAACCTAATACATGTAGTTGAGACATATATTTAAAAATGAAACAAAATATAGTCTGGCGCATGACGAAACTGTTCTCTTGTAGATAAATATTTTAGGTACAGATAATATGTGTCTTAATTTTACGTGATTGTTCAGGAAAATATCCATATATGTACATATGTTCAATGAACACCTTAGTATCTCACTAGCGGCCATTATTTTGCTGTTTTTCACCAAACGCCCCGAAAAATCCATATACAGTCTAAAGCTGCTTTGTCAACTATTGAAATTGCAAGAACTGTTTCATGTCGATTTCTTCCCGCCGCTTGGCAGTAATATTATGATGCCATTCCCGACCGGTTGTGTCGAGAAGGCCACCCCGGGCGCGGTTACTCCCCGAGTAGTGACAATATGGCCGCTATCCTCGTCTGATACACTGTCCCTAATAACCACAAGATCTGGCGGGAGGGTGTTGGAGCCGGTACTCTCTGAACGATCTCTCTGAATAGAAAGGTCAGGGACACTATTATTATCCACTGACACGCCCTGACTTTCCGTATTAAGGGGAATGGTGACTTGATCGGTAGATTGGCTCAGATCACGTGATTCCCGGTCACGCTCCACCCTTAAGTTTTCAGGGTTGTTGGAGGTCGTTTTTTGTGCACCTGTGTGTGTTTCTTTCTGCTCCGTACTAATGACTTCTTCTGTCATTGGTTTTAAAGACTCGGACAGCCTGGAATGAAACTGCTTAGTTGTGACAGAGCCTGACTCCACAGTGGTGTTTTTCTTTAGGTGGTCTCTAATGATCACCAGGTCTCCCGGTAAGGTGGCGGGGGAGGGAGCGGGGGAATCACCCATAAGTCCCCCGGATTCTTTCAGCGACAAGACGGGGATCTGTATGCCCGTCCCTTTGCTGGGTTCCGCGGTCTGGGGGATTATGAGATCATTTGCCTGGAAGTCTCTCTGGACGGTTGGTTGGGCGGCGGTGCTGGTCTGGGGAGGGGAGGCAGAAGGAATGTAATCACGGACTACATTTAACCCGGACACTCGAGGGTCGCCGTCTTCAGGCCTTGCTGTTAGGGCAGGGTCCCTGGTACCCCCTAGGGAAAGGTCGCTGGTGCCACCTGAGTAGAAATAAAACCACACGTCAAACAAAACATTTTATGATACAAGTTACACATGCCCATGTGTACTACAAAAAGTGCAAAACTGTAGTTACATTTTACAAGCTACAATTTTTATGTACTTATTCATGGGGAAAATATTTTGTTATTTCGGTAAATTGGCGTAAACTAAAACCCATAAAACACCGTGTTTAACTTAAGATGTAAACAAGACAATAAAATATACAGGTAAGGAGAGGACCGAAAGATAAACACCCGATTAAATAAAGATTGATCTCTACTCACCGCTAAAAGGCCTCACCATAGGCTGAAAGTTTACACCACGGGTCCGCCCCTAAAACATAAAACGACCCTTCACTGTTTTGGTACACAGATCATAAAAGCATGAAATAAAGTAAAACAGCGGCAAAATCGTGCGAACAATTAAATTAAAGCATTTTATAGCGTTATAAATACCCAACCAACTGGACATTAAATATGTTGCCATGATTTCTTTAAATTTTTGATATATTTTAAATTTAAAAAAAAAAATTCTAAAATTGTCCTAAATATACTGATCATCTTAACCAATGCCATACAAATGGATCTATGCATATCTTTTAAAGAGTTAATACGATGCGAGTACAAACCAGCCACGTAATGAAGGATCGCTGAGTGAAGAGCTGGAGCAGCCATCTGTAGACACCGGAGGGGTCCGTACTCGGTATTACTCCCGCCAGTCGACCTATAATAAGAAAATATTATAATAACCGTTATCTCGACCTGTAGCAATACATATGAATATATAAACTTTAAGGAGGCTGGAGGGTCAACAAATTAATCACAAATTAACCACCAGATTTAACTTATTTTTTTAGATACAGTATCTTAAGCTGTCAACTATCATTTAGCAAAGAAAAAATTCATACATTTTAGTTTTAAAATTTGATCATTTTTGTATATCTTTATATGGAGCTCTTCTTTTAAAGGAGATCGAAATAGTCTGAAAATGGCTGCCACCCCCAGCCTCTTTAAGCTTTTATTCGTTTCATTGTTAAAGGACACGTACGCAACGTGCTTTTCAAAATAACTGTATTATTCCTTGTTTAATTTAAAAGTTCCAATTATTTTAGGACCTTTTTGCATCCTGCTCACCTCCTTTAAATCGAAATTTTTGGGAAATATCAGCTAAAGCTATGAAAAGTTAAACTACATGCATGTCAGATATTCAATAAGAAAGGCAACAATAGCTATAATTTCTTTTAAATTATGCAACTATTAAGAATTACTGAATCTGATAATCCAATGCTGAATTAAAAAATCTCCGATGAAACTGTTAAAAGATACCATCCAAAAAATCATTTTACGGAATTGCAGAATTTCCCTTCCTATTTCCGAAACGAAATACAACGTAGATACTCATTATGACAATTATAATAATGGAGTTGAGGATCTTCAAAATGCTTGCAGTTGAGATATAAATGATCGAACTTACATTGTCAAAAAAGGGATAGGTGGGTGACAGGACTTCTTTATATGGAGAGAGGTTTTTATTGCTTATCATATTTCAGAACCTCTTTCTCGGATTTAAGAAGGAGATAAATTAAATTATACATTAAAAAAATATTTTGAGGAAAATTTAAGGGATTTTCCCGCTCTCAAAATTTTCAAAATTTTACTTTTTACGTTAACGCAAAATAGATTTAATCCATGAAAGCTGTAAAATATATCATAATTAAATCCGTATTTACCATATCTAAAGTATCCAAAAGAGTGTCTTATTTAGGCATGCTCGAAAAACTGCACACCGAAAAGTTACTAATAATTAATTAATTAGATTTTTATCAAAATGAACTATTTTGATATATATAGTGCACGTATATTTTTTTAAGAAGGTATAGCAAAGATGATTTCGAATTAAGTATAGTCGTTAAAAATTTACTTATTCATTTAATGCATACCCATCTTTGATATGTTTCTCAAAGTCCCTGCAATAAGTATTTTTTAAATATGTTTAGAGCCTTCTCAATTCAAGTTTAATTTTAACCCGAATATTACATTATACGGCAACCATGGGTTTTGATAACTATAAGAAATTGATAATAAAGCGATTATTGGAATGAGAGACATATATATTCACCATTTGTAGATCAAAGTATCTAGCCCCAGGTGGCAAAATTACAATCTATTATCGAAGTCTACATTCCACTGGTCGGAGCATAAGAACTCGGACCTACACTCCCTCTAAAACTGTAACTCATATTAGATGTTAACTAAATTTGTACTTTGGGTATCAATCGATAAAAATTTCACTCGCCTTTCTAAACTAGAAATAAAAATGTAGACCGAATTAAATACATAATTTACAAGATACAATTCTACTTATCATAATATATAAAGGTATAAAAATGTACTTATGTCGTATATATTATATCTGATTCTCCCTAGATCTACAAATTTATCAATAGCTGTAATTGATAATCAATCACAAATGATAGATCTCATTGTATTTTGTGCTTTGAAAGTACCGCTTTAATCCCTCAAATTGTCAAATATTCCAGAATTATTTGACAGGTGTCAGGGCCTTCATAACAAAGTGAAAATATTCACATGGGACAACAAACAAGATAGTAAATTAACCCCATATGCATATACTTGTAAATTCTGGAAAAAATTGGTTTATTTGGAATTTCAGGAATAATAATAATGTATGCATATTAAAGAATTTTCAAATTATGTTGTGGACAAATATTCGGCCTCAGAACCATAAAGTGAGAATACACTCAAGTTTAAATTTTGATTTTCGAATATTTGGATTTCATTTAACACGTGCTTTGAGTTTACCAGATTTGTATACATATAATGTTTAAATTCAACTACATTATGCATTTCAAAAGTATTGATTTGAATTTTTGAGTTAAATTCGTTCTCAGTTTTTGGTCATGGAGCCAGGTCTGGTCTTCATGTACGATTATTATTCGGTACATATATATTTTGTCAGAGAAAAAGCGGTTCCGTAAAATGTAGAAACCCCCCCCCCCCCATCCTGATATCGTCACATCCATACTGGATTTATGAATGGAAGTTAAATTAACTGAAATTTACGATGTATTGGTACACAGATTCTTTCGTCAAAAGAGAAGCAAAAAGAACAGTTAGGAATGGCGCGAACATTCGGATATTGACCTATTCTAGCAGTTTTTCTTATCTTTAGATTTGCAAAACATCAGTAAGACTCACAGATTTCGTACAAAGAATCCTTGAATTCATTACATTGAAATAAAATAATATATTAAATGAGTTTTTTTAGAATCAGGATAAATATGGGCGTCGCCCGTTTGGCGCAGTGGTTAGAGTGTTTGCGGTGTAAGGAGTCAATCCTTATTTCGCGGGTTCGAATCCCACTGTGGGACGTGGAGACCGGCACTTCGGATGAGACTGTAAAAACCAAGGTCCCGTAGTAGGTGTTGGCACTGCTCAATGGCCCTGAGTGCCGAGTATAGGAAAAAAATGCATCTCTCAACCAGCAAATGGTGGCGCCTCTACATGATGAGTGAAAAATTCTCGAGAGGGACGTTTAACAACAACAAACAAACAAACATAAATATGGGCAAATAACAGGTATATTTACACCTGTGCTACACCTGAGTGACGCATTCTTACCTGGATCCGGGGCAGCGTTCTGTATAGGTGGCAACAAACCGACAGGTACCGCTGTAACAACGCACAGACACACAGACAAAATTACAACCACGTGCTGGTAAAACATCTTCAATCTGTTTATAATTAACAATATTGTGTTATCCAGAAAAAAAATTAGAATCAATCGCCAGTAAACTCTTGGTAACACATTGTTGCCTATTCTGGGAATTTCTTTGAATATTTTGAAATATATATAGAAGATGAGAGTGAAGCAAGTCTGCTTCAAGAATGTGACTTCACAACACCTCGAACAACTAATTGAAATACTGTAAGAGATCGGCTGTACCCGGTTAATACCAGACTATCAAATTCCCCGCGGACATGGTCGTCATTGTAAAAGAGAATGCGACCAATGGCCGCCACGTAGCCGCCATATTGCCGGGAGCTAGGTTTTGATACGTAAACAACGTGGTTATCGGGGGCCAATACGAGGTTCAGGGTTCAGATGGAGAACAAGATTACATTTTATTGCGAAGATAAGAAATTAATATCCGCCACATCCAAATATCTATTTGTTTGTTTATTGAGAATGTTTGCTTGATTTCCTTTAGGAGTGTTAGATCACCATATGCAGAAACATCCGAATAATTCAGGGTCACGTAATGTTAGCTTGAGATTATTCCCAGTTATTTAGATGACGTCTTTCCACATGTTTTTTTTCTGTCATGAAGACTTGATCGTAAATGCTATCACTCTGAAAGATGACCTTCAAGTTACACTTTCCTCCTAAACCGGTTTTTAAGAACTTCATTAAGTTTACTAAGTTAAAATTAATGCATCAACCTGTACCCCTTGGAATATTGAAAGCATAATGGTTATTCATAGTTTTCAAAGATAAATATCTAAGCCAAAGTTAACACTTTAGTTAGTAATGAGTAGCAGATTGTTGGTGGTTAGGAAACACAGTTGAGAATGCACTGCTTTTATTATCTGTAATCTTTTGTTTCTCGATTTGTAAATTCGGTTGGTAAGGGATGCTCACTCCTACTTGGCACCCGATCCCCCATGTGATGTTCAGAGGTCCATGTTTGCTCTGCTTCTGATTTGTATTCTGAGCTGGAATACTTATTGTTATCTCCATATACTTCATTTAAGATGACTCGTATAACCGTATACGTGAGCAGCCTTTGTGTTGCCATGTTTGAAGACACATTCTCAGTCCTCGCATGCATGAAACAGCCATGCATGACCCAATAAACATAAATTTAACCTCTGAGTCATGTTACTATCACCGAGTTTTTGGTGATATTTTTAATTTCTGATGTAATGACCTGAAAATAGGACAGGAGACGATTAAAGTTTACGTCTTTATTTCTGAATGTCCGAAGAATAAGTGTTAAGATATAATCATTCGCAATCACAAAAATAATGCCAGCAATAACACTTTAAAAATCACAAATGTGAGGTGGCATATATGATATGACATGTGCATAGTTCACCTTTAAGACAATTTCACACATTTGATAACAGATTAATAAAACAATTGCTTAAGACGCATTATACAACCACTATAACAAATTGCCTGTGTGGTGGCCCACTATAGTTTCAAGTGCAATGACACCTAACAACAAATTTACAAACATTACAGGGTTGAAGTGAAAAATAAATGAAATATCTTGTACAACATTATTCAAGAATTAAAACAAAATGGGGAAATTAATCTCAAATAATAGAAAAACTCATTTTGCAAAGTGAGGGTTTGTTAAGGACAGATGATAATTCAAATTGATTGACTCAAAACACAAGCACATGACTTTGTTTACATCATAAATTGAACTTCCGGTATATGTTACTTAACTTCCGGTAAACAGTTAAAAAGGGGGGGGGTATGTAGTAGACAAACAAAGGATTGAACTGCCATCAATAATAAAATGATCTAAACTAAACGAAAAATGCTACATATGCTAAACATGCTATAATGCTACTTGTTTACATGAACTATTTGAACTGTGCACATGTACTGATCTGAACATTTAAGAAACTCTGCGCTAGTGTGTTAGCAGATCATGAATATGACAACAACAAGTTAAACACATAAGTAAAATCATAAAACAAGTAACTTACATGACCAGTTTTTGCATAACGGACATCGATTAACGATTTGTTGACAAAGCCGAAAGTGTGTTGTTTCATTTTTCAAGATTTTAACTTATAAGAGCCAAAACCAATATAGCAAAAGAGAGCTTTTTCCGGATTGACTTAAATTAACAAGTTAAGTTTTAGAAATCAAATAAAACAGTCTGAAAGATGTTATTAAGACTTTAGATATAAAAAAAATAGAAATTCTTTATAAAATTATAATGTTACTTAATATAGATTAGCTCAATAAAGTGTCAATACAATTTTGGTAAAATGTCCATGCACATAAACAATAAAAATATCAAAATTCTAAAATGCGTAAAAATGAATGTACAACTGCATTGTTATAAAATGCATAAAAATGAATAAACGATTGCAATGATACAAAAAGATATGTAAAAGTTACATTACCTGAAAATAGGACAGGAGACGATTAAAGTTTACGTCTTTATTTCTGAATGTCCGAAGAATAAGTGATCGGACAAAGCGAGATAGCGTCCCCTGTCCGGAACCTGAGTTAATCTTGTCACAATGGTAAAACAAAGTGTGAAAAGCAATTTACTCAAAAATTGACATCAAAGAGGGTGATTTACCCTGCGGCTTAACCGGTACATTCGAAGAAAATAGAAAAAGACACAAGTGTGAATTAAGTTTGTTTAACGAGTAACTCTGATTAATTCGGCTTCATTTGATTTCCTTGACACTAATAGATTTCACAAATGTTCAAAGAAAACTTATCGCAAATAAGAAGATATACACTTGTCAAGGTAAATAAGCAAGTGCCAGGAAATGGAGAAGAATGCATTTGTTGGAATGTGTAAAATAATTTGGATTAAATTACCAAATAAAAATAAAAAAATGTTTTCATGAAGAAAAAAGAATTTAGAATTAAAAATATAAAGAGATAAATTTATATAAAAATATTTCAAATAAATGTATAAAAATAGAAAACTGTTTGGAGGGTCAATGTGACACTATGATAATTCCCTCCTGGTTGGAAAAATCTTTGTCCTCAAAGATAAAATAAGGACATAGAGAATTACAGTGAAAGAAAAAAGTTGCAATCATCGCTTCAAATAAACATGCATATAGTAAAGGTAGTATTTACATGACAAAAACTTCAGATGAAAGAAAAAAAAATACGAAGTGAGTACCCTGAACATGAAAGTAGCAAAAAGTAAACACAAAATGCTGATATAAGTATACATGACAATGGTAAAAGACAAAAACTCTAGTAAAAGAAAACTACATTTCAAATAAGTACAAGGCAAATGAAAAATCAATGTGGGTATGAGTTACATATGTACAATGGGACTGTGGTAAAAACTCATAATCATGCTCACAACTGCAAGTCATGTAGAGAAAATGTCCAGCAAAAAAATGAACAAAATTTAATCAATCAAGAATTTTGAAATATTGATGATGTGAAAGTAGAAAATAAGCAGTGTATGGGTGCTGGATGATGTTTTGTATGCGCCAAGCTTTGAATGGTGAGATGAGTTGCTTTGTTTCGACCTTAATGGAGCGATTAGTATGCACATTAGTTATGTTAATTGGGGTGCATTGAATCTCTGCATGATAGAAGAAAAGGTAAGACCTGGTGATGTTGATAGACGACACATCTTGAGGTGGTTGTATGTGCCAGTTGTTAGGACATAATGGTAAGGAGATGAGATTAACAAGTTCACATGCAGGTCCTGATGTTATTTCTAGGTGAATTGCTGTTTTGTAAGTACGAAGGAATTTGCGCCATAGGGTAGCAAGGCATGCAATGACTAGGAGGGTTGTTAGAACTGAAAGGGAGACATATGGCCAGGGTGTTGTGAATGAGGCATATATGTGCTCATCAATGGAAGTTGGATTAGTAGTGTCAAGTGCTTCGTTGTATATAAATGAGCGGATTGGTTTTGGTGTTAATGCAGAGGTGGAAGGAGTTTGATGGAGAAGGAGCAGTGGCATCAATAGCGTTCTGATTTTATAACAAGACCAAATGCCAAATATAAGTCCAAATGATGCTACAGATGTTGCTATAATGGCAAGGATACCACTGGTGTCGGGCCAGTTGTCCACAGCGAATTCAACTTGTCCTGCTATCATGGAGTCAGTTAATGTTTTGAAGACTTTTCCATCCCGTTTCACAGCCTGGGCAATTCTTTTGAGACTTAGATGTTGATTTTTGTCATTGGCAACATATTGGGAGAATGAATGGTTAAATATGATAAAGTTCGGAAGTTTAACTTGGATAAATTCCTCAAATATTGCATCACCAAATATATCGGAATGGGAATTTTGGTCGAAGAATTGTTGTAATAATACTAAGTTGATTGGGTGAAGAATTGAAATTTTGTCAGTGTTGTTGTTGCATTTGCCAAGCCTTGGAGGGAGGTAGAGGTTGTTGGATGACACCGAACATCTGCATGGAATTTTCATCACACAAAATGAGCAGCCTTTGATAATCTTCTGTCCATTGGAGCAGTCAAGGGCAAGCGTGGTTGTTTGGTATAACAGGATATGTGAAGGTGATATTTCATACAAGGAAGGTTTTAGGATATTGAGAACATATCGGAAGTCACATAAGTTGACAACATCGTTTTTTTGGTTGTAGAATATTGCAGAAAGGCAGCTGGGTGAGGCAGATGCAGTCAGGGCGATGTTGAAGTCACAGGACTGTGTGGTGGTTCCTTTGCAATGGGATAACTGGTTTGATGAAATTGTCGCATAATGTTGGTTATCATCTGTGTTTAGAAAATATTCCGGGGTGTCCATGAGTTGAGTAGCATGGTTCGATGATGAATTTACTGGTACTGGGAATGAATAGACCTTGAATAGTGAAACTGGTCGAAGGAATGGTGAAATGGGAATCTTCAAGGTCAGGTATAGGTTGGAATGTAGTCTGGTAAAGATGAAGTCTCCAGATGAATAATAATACAATGGATCTCTATGGGAAATATGGAATTGTGGAAATTTGTCCGAAATTATATTCTGCACTTGGGCAATGGATGATTGTATGGTATGTGGTGATAAAATGAATGGGGATAGTTTTCCTTTCACAAGATCATGAATTCCTAGTTTAATGTGTTCCAGTGCTTTTTCTAATTGTGCTGAGGCATTGGTTTGTTTTAGAATTAGGTTGCTTAGAATAACAAACTCATGATCTAGAGCATCCATTGAGTGGTGGACAAGGTTGTTTAGGGCAACAGCATCTCGGTGGTTTTGCAGGATGGCTGACATCACATTGTTGAAGCGTTTGTCCACTGCGGTAATAAAAGAGGATAAATGTTTATCTTGTAGAGCCATGGCTTGGGCTAGTTTTACATTGTTATTGTTTAGGGTCTGCATATGTCGTTTTAATGCGTTGATATCGTCCGATGTTGCAGTACCAAAGAGAGATTTTGAAATTTGTCCCACAAAATCAAAAAGTCCTCGCTTTGATCTGGAGGATCCAAAGTAAGTTTTCTTGGGTGGTAAAATGGTACTTGGTACAAGACGATGAATTTGGTGAACTGTGGTATTGACGCTAGCCATGCATTGCATTCGAAGAAGGTTGATGGATTTGATGATATGGCCAGCTGTTTTGCATTGTGGCGAGTTGCAGTGTAGTTCAACAAGATGAATCTTCTTTGGTAATGGGATTTGGAAGGTATGCAGCCAGTTTTCTTGTCCCAAGAAGATGTTGGTTGTTTGTTCGAATATGATGCCGTAATTGATTCTCTGGATGGTTCGTTCAGGATTTGAGGCAAAACCAGGGACACCGAGACACAAGAAAAGAACTAGAAGGAAAAGATGTTTGGTTCCGCTTTCACCTAAGAGAAGAGAGAAAAAGGAATAAGGAGCTGTGCATTGTATAAGATGTAATGTCAGTATCAGTTTGATCAGAACTGAGAAGCACTAATTTAACAATTTCAAAAATTAACTCATTTAAGGAAAATGTTGCCTAAAATGAAATGTTAAAATTTTAACATATGATCTTACACAAGCACAAGATAAATGTTAGTGAGAGATAAAGTAAATGAGAAAGGTGAAAGAATAGAAACAAACGTTGCTTTCTAGTTAAAGCAAGTGCGCAGCTTGCGTTTTCTTGCACGTCCGGTTTGTGTCCTATCAATATGGTACTGTTGGATAAGAGCGGGGTTGAGATAGTCCTCGGGCTCCCAAGTTTTCTCGCTGTGCCCTTTCCATTTTACGAGGAAGTGTTTTTTTCCTCGGATGTACTTGTACTTGACTAGTTTTTCAACAAATCCTTGAAGATCATCGTCAGGTGATTGCGAGTTTGGACATTGCGTGACGTCTCCTGTTTGTGTAGTAGGAGGAAGAGTGGAAGGTTGTGCATTGTGAGAATGGGTATCGTCTTCTGGAAGAACGTCAGAAGGTATTTGATCTGGTGCACCAGTAGGGTTTTGCATTGTGGGTGTTTGGGGTTGATCACCCAAGGGATTAGGAGGTTGAATGGCGTTGTTGGGTGCAATAGTATCTTGTATTGCTGGTTGATTTTGTTGGTTGTTGTCATTAGGTTGATTGGCATCTGGTGGCTGATGTGTGTCATCAATAGGGTCTGTGGCTGGCGGTGGGTCTAGACTCTTGCGATGGGCTGGATCATTGTATGTTTTGAGTCTGTTCGCATGAATGTACGATTTTATTGCTTTGTTGTCGGAGCAACGAATAATTTTGTATGTGTTGTTGAGTCCTTGTCTGGTTACATAAAATGGTCCATCCCAAGGTTTGTGGAATTTTGGAGAGAGGCCTTTTGGAACTTTTGGATTACGAAGAAGAACCCATTCTCCTACTCTGAATTCCCTGTTTTCTGCTGTTTTGTCATAGTGAGCCTTTTGCTTTTGTTGTGCATTTTTGATGTTGTTTGTCGCAAGTTCTTGAACAATCTTAAGGTGTTTAATTAGATTGTTGACGTGATTTTTGGCATCCTGGTTCATGCCGTCTTTAGGGAGTAGGGAGGTATCAAACGGGAGTTCCATTTCTGTACCAAACAGAATCTGATGGGGTGATAGGTCAGATGACTGAGTGGAAGGACTCATGCGAAGTGCCATCATAATTCCAGGAAGCAGCTCTTTCCAATTATCCTGATCTTTGTTAATGTATGTGCGTATGCATTGTGCGATGGTGCTGTTCATGCGTTCACAAGCTGCATTTGTTTGAGGGTGGTATGAACTAGTGAAATGGCGAGTAACTTGGAACAGTTCACATACAGCTGTGACCAACTTGCTCATGAAATTCTGTCCTCTGTCTGTGATGAGCGTACGAGGGGCTCCGTATCGGGCAAATATTTCACCAAAGAGGACTTTTGCGATTTCTTGAGAGTCTTGCGTCTTCAAAGGAAAGGCTTCTGGCCACTTAGAAAAAGAGTCTACTACCAGCAGGATATACTTATGGCCTTCAGGTGTTGGAGTTACAGGACCTAGGATATCCATATGAATTCTGCTGAATGGTTTTGTAACTGGCATGTTGACGAGAGGAACATGGGTAGGTTTAGTAGTTTTCTTGGCACATTGACATTCAGCGCAGGAACGCACATAGTCTGCAACATTCTGATACATTCCAGGCCAGTAGTATTTTAACTGGATGGCTCTGTATGTGCGCTCGAATCCGAGATGAGCTCCTCCGGCTAAGCTATCATGGTAAGAGTGTAGTACGTCTTCTCGAAGGCAACGTGGAACTGCTAGTTGTCTGAGATACTTGTCAGGATGTCGCATTCTCTTTGAGCGAGGTTGGTAATAATGATACAGAACATTGTCCAGGAACACATAAAAATTTGATTCACTGAGGAGTCTTTCTTGGCTTGATTTGTCTTCAGGTAATTCATCTGTTTTGAAATATTTGTACATTGGTCCGAAATCAGGGCAATCATTTTGCAGTTCTGCAATTGATGGATTAGTGTCTATAGTACAAACTGCATTTGATGTTGAGCCAGGAATATTGGATGGTGTTGCATTGTTGTAATAGAATGTTGTTTCTTGAAAGGTGCTGTTGAGTGATAGACTGGATACATCAGATGAAGGAAGTACATTTTCTGGTTCATCTGAGGAGTCTGTTGAATCAGCATAAGCTCGTCTTGATAGAGCATCAGCAACTTCATTCTTTTTCCCTGCTTTGTAATTGATTTCATATTGGTACCCCTGAAGTAAGACTGACCATCTAGCGAGTCGTCCTGTTGACTGTTTGATGTTGTTGAGCCATTTTAGTGCTGCATGATCTGTGAAAATCTTGAATGGTTGACTTGCCAGATATACATGGTATGTTTTTATACCTTCAACGATAGCAAGTCCCTCTCGCTCTGACACTGGATATTTGCGTTCATGTTGGTTGAGCGAACGTCCACCATAAGCAATCACTCTTTCCTTTCCAGTTGTATCAAGTTGACCAAGTATGTAGCCGATGGCAGATCCAGAAGCATCTGTTGTTAAGGTGAATGGTTTGCTGTGGTCAGGGTATGCTAACACTGGGGGAGTTGTTAAAGCGGTTTTCAGTCTGTCAAAGGCGGTTTGGCACTCCTCGGTCCAAGAGAATGGTACGTCTTTGCAGAGTAAATGTGTCAATGGATTGGTGATTTTGCTGTATCCTTGCACAAACTTTCTGTAATAATTACAGAGTCCTAGAAATGATCGTACTTCTTTCTGATTTCTTGGAATTGGAAAGGACTTCACAGCATCAGTCTTCGACACATCCACTTGAATACCATCTTTTGTTAACACATGTCCCAGGTATTTTACTTCTTGTAAAGCGAAGGCACATTTACTGGGTTTCAGGGTTAAACCAGCTGATGTAAGTCGAGTGAATATTTGTTCTAAGTGTTGTAAATGTTCTTGAAAAGAGTTTGAAAACACAAGTATATCATCTACATACACAAGGCAGGTTTTCCAGTTTAGTCCACGAAGCACTTGAGTCATCAGAGCTTGGAAGCTGGCTGGGGCGTTGACGAGTCCAAAGGGCATTCGCTTCCATTGGTATACACCAGTTGGGGTGACAAAGGCAGATTTGTGTTTGGTTTCATTGTCCATAGGAATCTGCCAGAATCCGGAAGCCAAGTCGAGTGTAGAAAATAGTTTTGCTTGTGAATTGCCAATGGTGTCGAACACATCCTCAAGGCGTGGTAGTGGAAAGGTGAACTGTTTTGTTATGGCGTTTAGTTTGCGGTAGTCTACTGCAAAGCGGAGCTGTCCGTTTTTCTTTTTCACCATAACAACGGGGCTCTGCCACATAGAATCTGACTCTTCGATAATTCCGGCTGACAACATTTCTTCTATTTGTCTATTCATTTCTGCGTTGACTTGAGGGGATTGTCTGTAGAAACGTTGGCGTACGGGCAGCGAGTTCCCTGTGTCAATATGATGAGGTTGTGTGTTGGCTTTTCCTAATTCTTTCAAGTCAGTTGCGAAAACATGTCGATGTTTGGTCAAGAAGGCTTCTAAAAGTTGTTTCTCTGTTGCGGATAGAGTCGACTTCTCAAGATCGAATTGAATGGGTTTTTTGTTGTCATTGTCATCACTTGTCTTTGGTGATGGTGTGTCAAGTGAGTATATTGTCTCTGTGTCCACAATAGATGCAGATGCTATAGGGGTGGTTGCACTAAGTCTCACAGATTGGTTGGTGGGATTTATAATCTGCATATAAGTTTTGTTTGTGCTGTCAACGAGACACTTTGCTCCTGCTAGTCCGCGTAATGGTAGTTGTGAGCAGGGTTCCAAAAGGATACACTTATGTCTGGTCAGGTTGGAAATGAACACTTGCACAGAAACAACAGAATGGGGTGGAATGGTTGTTGTATCGGAGACCCGAGCGAATCCGGTGTTGGTGTCGATGGAGAATGTAGTGTGATCTATTGGATCTCTAAGGTATAGGGTGTTGTTTTCTGCATTGAAGATGCCATCGTTGTTGTTAAGAAAGTCGAGGCCCAGGATCAAAGGATGATGGAATGATTTGAAAATGTGGAAGGTGTGTGAAATGGTAATCCCATCAAAGGAGATGGGTAAGGATATTGCACCCAGACTAGCATGTCTCTCTCCGCCAACAGCAACAGCGTCTCGAACATTAGAAGGACTAAGTTGATCAGGTTTGATACCAAGTTTGGGTATTAGATCAGAACTTACACAAGAGATGCTTGCTCCAGTATCCACTAACGCATTAATAGAGAAGCTATGCACAGAGACAGAAACAGTATTTTTCTCCACAGGCATAATGAGACTAACACTATGAGATTGGGGTTTGAGTGTGGGGGAGGGAGGGGTGGGTTTGTTAGATTCTGAGGGTTTGGTGTTAGGCTTTGTTAGTTTTGGGTAAGTGTTAGCACTGTGACGAGGACTGACTATTTCTGACGACTTGTTAACTGAGTGCCTATCCTTGTTAGGGACAGGCGCGCGTCCCTAACTGGAAGAGTAAGAGTTGGTGCTTGTGTTAGTGTTGTATTTGTTGTGCAAATTTCTACGTTTTCTGAAACAAACTTTTTCATTGTGGTGCCATTTGAAGCAGTAATTACATTTAGTGTTAAAAGCTGGACATGTTTCTCTATTACTACATGACTCACCACAACCTTTGCATCTGAAGCTCTGTTGCTCATTGGGTCTGTCATCAGTCTGTCCGCGTGGCTGGTACTGGGGGCGTCTGCCAGGTTGGTTGTTCCAGCGTTGTTGTTGTGTTGGTTGGCTGGCCACATGGAGAGCACTGATTTCGGCTTTAATGTTTTTGGTTAGTTCCGTCATCTGGGTAGCTAACACGGTACACAAGTTGGCAAGGCTGGCTTCACTGGTGGACGTCTGTGGAGCACTTTGAGGCTGAGTGTCACTTAACTCCACTTGAGTCTTTGAAACGGCATTTCTCAGTTCTTGAAATGTCTTTGGTTCACGGGCCAAAACTTTTCCACGCCACGGAGGTAGGAGACCTGATGCAGTGGCTTGAACTTTGTAGTGTTCAGCAATGTCATGTATCATGTCAATGCGTTCGGCTCTCTCTAGGTATTGGTCTAGTGTTTCACTTGTATCCTGCCGAATTCCCATGAGAGGCATTCCATACATTATGGGTTGAAATCTTTCTGTTAGTTGCTGCTTAAATGTTGCAAGGGAATTGCATGGAGGCATGGTTTGATACCATGTGCTTGCACTCCCTTCTAGGGCACAAGGAAGTAAGTCTAAGATTTTCTGGTCATTGTAATTATTGAACTTCTGCCATGCGTCTATTTTAGAAATCCATATCACTGGGGTTTCAGAACCATTGAACTTTGGGAGGCTAAATCCAGTAGCCATAATCACTGGGTCACACTGAATGGTTCCTATTGGTGGGTTGTCAGTTTCCTCTGTATTGGTGTCTGCAGTTTCTATATTGGTGCCGGCTGTGTCCGTATTGGTGTCAGCTGTTTCCGTATTGGTGTTGGCTGTTTCAGTATTGGTGTCGGCTGTTTCGGTATTGGTGTCGGCTGTTTCTGTATTGGGGTCAGCTGTTTCTGTATTGGTGTCAGCTGTTTCTGTATTGGTGTCAGCTGTTTCTGTATTGATGTCAGCTGTTTCTGTATTGGTATCAGTTGTTTCTGTATTAGTGTCAGTTGTTTCTGTATTGATGTCAGCTGGTATCGTCTCACTTTGGTTTGACGTATCTTCGGGCTGCTGTGCAGTGTCCTGCAGGTATGTTTGCTCTTCTGCAGATGCGGTTTGTCTGGTCTTTATAGTATAGTTGATTGGTCTGTTCTTTTTCATCTGTCCTTAGTAGTTGGGATCGTTGGATTCACTCCACCACTTTATCACCGAGTTTTTGGTGATATTTTTGTTTCTGATGTAATGACCTGAAAATAGGACAGGAGACGATTAAAGTTTACGTCTTTATTTCTGAATGTCCGAAGAATAAGTGTTAAGATATAATCATTCGCAATCACAAAAATAATGCCAGCAATAACACTTTAAAAATCACAAATGTGAGGTGGCATATATGATATGACATGTGCATAGTTCACCTTTAAGACAATTTCACACATTTGATAACAGATTAATAAAACAATTGCTTAAGACGCATTATACAACCACTATAACAAATTGCCTGTGTGGTGGCCCACTATAGTTTCAAGTGCAATGACACCTAACAACAAATTTACAAACATTACAGGGTTGAAGTGAAAAATAAATGAAATATCTTATACAACATTATTCAAGAATTAAAACAAAATGGGGAAATTAATCTCAAATAATAGAAAAACTCATTTTGCAAAGTGAGGGTTTGTTAAGGACAGATGATAATTCAAATTGATTGACTCAAAACACAAGCACATGGCTTTGTTTACATCATAAATTGAACTTCCGGTATATGTTACTTAACTTCCGGTAAACAGTTAAAAAGAGGGGGGGGGGGGTATGTAGTAGACAAACAAAGGATTGAACTGCCATCAATAATAAAATGATCTAAACTAAACGAAAAATGCTACATATGCTAAACATGCTATAATGCTACTTGTTTACATGAACTATTTGAACTGTGCACATGTACTGATCTGAACATTTAAGAAACTCTGCGCTAGTGTGTTAGCAGATCATGAATATGACAACAACAAGTTAAACACATAAGTAAAATCATAAAACAAGTAACTTACATGACCAGTTTTTGCATAACGGACATCGATTAACGATTTGTTGACAAAGCCGAAAGTGTGTTGTTTCATTTTTCAAGATTTTAACTTATAAGAGCCAAAACCAATATAGCAAAAGAGAGCTTTTTCCGGATTGACTTAAATTAACAAGTTAAGTTTTAGAAATCAAATAAAACAGTCTAAAAGATGTTATTAAGACTTTAGATATGAAAAATAGAAATTCTTTATAAAATTATAATGTTACTTAATATAGATTAGCTCAATAAAGTGTCAATACAATTTTGGTAAAATGTCCATGCACATAAACAATAAAGATATCAAAGTTCTAAAATGCGTAAAAATGAATGTACAACTGCATTGTTATAAAATGCATAAAAATGAATAAACAATTGCAATGATACAAAAAGATATGTAAAAGTTACATTACCTGAAAATAGGACAGGAGACGATTAAAGTTTACGTCTTTATTTCTGAATGTCCGAAGAATAAGTGATCGGACAAAGCGAGATAGCGTCCCCTGTCCGGAACCTGAGTTAATCTTGTCACAATGGTAAAACAAAGTGTGAAAAGCAATTTACTCAAAAATTGACATCAAAGAGGGTGATTTACCCTGCGGCTTAACCGGTACATTCGAAGAAAATAGAAAAAGACACAAGTGTGAATTAAGTTTGTTTAACGAGTAACTCTGATTAATTCGGCTTCATTTGATTTCCTTGACACTAATAGATTTCACAAATGTTCAAAGAAAACTTATCACAAATAAGAAGATATATATTTGTCAAGGTAAATAAGCAAGTGCCAGGAAATAGAGAACAATGCATTTGTTGGAATGTGTAAAATAATTTGGATTAAATTACCAAATAAAAATAAAAAAATGTTTTCATGAAGAAAAAAGAATTTAGAATTAAAAATATAAAGAGATAAATTTATATAAAAATATTTCAAATAAATGTATAAAAATAGAAAACTGTTTGGAGGGTCAATGTGACACTATGATATTACTTTGATGTTCAAATTTTCATGGCTAGGATAAACATGTACATGTAATATCTAAATAAAATAAAATGAAATAAAAATAAATGACGCTAAGACCCAATACTTAGATAATTCATGTTACAGTATGAGAGTCTTTTTGGCCACCTTCGGCATAGACGAATAATTTGAAAGAAGATTTTACATGAATTATACAATACGTCCCTTCAAAGAAAATATTTTATGTTATCATTATACCCCCGCTTAAAAAGTGGGAGGGGATATAGTGTTCGGGATGTCCTTCCGTCTGTCTGTGCGTCCGTCTAGCTGTTCGTCCGTCCGTCTGTTAAGCTTTGGGTACACATCTCTTATCCGCAACTCTTATTTTACCACTGAATGAAATTTAAGGAAACTTTCACAGAATCTTTGTTACATAGTGCAGTTGTGACCTCCTATTTTACTTTTTGATCCGACACATGTTTTGAGTTTCCCAGAGCAAAACATGAACACAGCAATTCTTTCTATAATATATTGAAGGGAACCCAAATCTTATCCGCACCTCCCCCTACACCTCTGAGTAAAATATAATGATACATTCACGAATTCTTTATTTCATAATGCCATTGTCCACCTCATATTTTAATTTTTGATCTGACACTTTTTTTGGGTACCGCGGGGGTATTATTCAGTACCTCACATTGCTCACAGTACCTCTAGTTGAGATCCATTTCTACAGCTTTTCGTTTCGAGGAAACATCGGCAGTTTGTTCTTTTTATTTTTAGTAATCTTAGTAATTGGTCATTAAAGTAATGACAAGCCGATCTATCCCCCATCCCACAAGAAATGTAAAGAGTTGTACAAGTTTATGAGGGTGCAGTTTACGTGTTTGAAATATGATTGGAATCAAACCAAAAACACAGGAGTTTATATATACATGTAGATAGATAAGCAGATACTTTACCAATTTTCGAAAAATAGTTATAATAATGTCTAACTATGATACAAAACATTTTATCTTTAGATTGAACATTATTATACCCCAGTAATCAAAAGTTTGGCGTTGTGTAGATTTTGTCCTGTTCGCCCGTGTGTGTATCTGTTTAACCGTACCCGGCATACCAACAATTTTGACCATTGACCTTAATGGTGGATTTTGACTTGCATTTAAAAACTTCAATTTTCAGCATAAGCTGCCATGCAGGGGCATCAGTGTTTCACAAACACAACATCCTGTTTTCCGTAAGCTTTGTTTCGGAAACTATGACGTCATACATCATGATGCTAGTTTTCGCAATCCTCTTCACACGACTGATGACAAAATGCATACGGACAATGTGACGCTTGCAATTGTTTTTGAAAAAAAAAGTTTAAAAACGTCATAAGTTAAGTTGACACTGGCTAAGTAATTACACAGAGGAAAATAACATACAGTGTAACAATGAGCTACAGGTGTTTCATATACTTAATATTCTGTACAGGGATAAACACATTAATTAAATTACAACAAAAGTCAGTGTTCTCAAGAACCCTGCGATTAAAAAATTATTAGATTAATCCAGATCAGGATTTTAACCAATTTTGTAGCTGTATCCACAGGTGCTTGAGGACTGGACCCCCCCTCCTCTTTCGATATAGACCCCTTGACCTTTTCGACTTTTTTCTTTTTCTTTCATTTTCATATTTGTGACAAGATCTATACCAACAATTCAAAAAATTACCTAAAACAAACATTTTATAAATCTACCTTACATTCGATATATATATAAAAAAGTTCATTTATATATATAGAGTGTGGTAGAATTTTTTTTATAAAATGTTAGTTTAAGCAAATTTTCTGAATTGATAGGATAGATCATATCACAAATGTGTCATCCATATATAATATATGTGAAAAAAGCCTTAAAAGGCCAGGGGGTCTATATTGGAGGGGGAGGGGTCCTGTCGTCAAGCACCTGTGATTTAAACATCAAAAACATTCCTCATAACCGTTGGAAATAGACTTCCTTGGCCTGAAATAGAAACCATGGCAAAATGCTAATGGAAAATTTTGCCTCTGTACACTGCCATTGTGAACTGCAAGATAAAATATGAGTATAACGCTAATTTGAAATCGAGCTTTTGTACAGCTGAGGTAAGAATTTGGAGAAATTAATCCAAATATGAGCGCAACTTTTTGTGCGAATAATATAGTTTTTTCTATGGGTAGCACTGTTCCTCTCTGATCACCCATTTCTTTTCAGACCAGCGAGCTACAGCGCTGCAGCATCTTCACCGGATACAGACACGTTCTAGAACAAAAGCATGTTCTAAACCTTTCTAATACCCCCCCCTCCTTCTAGTCAGATGAAAAAAAACCTAATTATTAGTCTCTGCGTCTTGACTCCGGTTTACCATCATCAATTCGATATTTTGACCTTGATCATCACTTTATAGTATTAAATCAGGACTCCAAGGTTGCGATCAAGGTAAAAATTGTTAACACATAAGCACGAGCAAGAGACATTTTTGATCTCAGGTGCATATTGATTAATCTTTATATCCTAATTTGAAAGAATACAAATGGATATCACGTACTTTAATTGAATAGTAAACCCAGGTAGCACAAAACATTTTCAAAACATTTTATTGGTGT